GATGATGCAAAGAACTCTTGACTGGTCCCAAGTGACTTGAGGTTGTTCCAGCCCAACAAATGATTACCATCATCACCCCTGCTACATACTTTTTGCTCAATTATTGTATCTCTCAGGTAGAATAATGGTGATGATAGCATTTACAGAATACTTAGCACAGTGTCTGGCACATAGTAGGCACTTAATAAATAATTTATTGACTGACTGCTTTATGTTTTGCAAAGTACTTTACATCTGTTATGTCATTTGGTTCTCAAAACAACCTTGTGAGCTGGGTGTTATTGTTATCCCCATTTTACATATGAGAAAACTGAGACTTACCTCAAAGGTTAAGGGACTTGCTCCAGTTTACCTAGCTAGTAAGGGACGGAGGCAATAATTGAAATCAGGTCTTTTCGATTCTAAGTTGGTCAATAATATATAGATAGATAAATTATAGAGAGATGGATAGACTATAGGTAAGTAGATAGGTAGATAGAGAAAGGAAAAAAGAAAGAAAGAAAAAAGAAAAAATATAGATGGATAGATGATAGGTAGACAGAGCATTTATTAAGCTCTACTGCCAAGCACTGGCATATAAAAACAAATGAGGTTTGTCTTCAAAGGGCTTACATTCTAATGTAATTGTGGAAGATATTATATAAAAGGCATGAGTGGGAGGAAAGGAAGAGAAAGAGGAAAGAGGAAAGAAAAAAAAATGTTGAGGCAGCTAGGTGGTACAGTGGATAGAGCACTGGCCCTGAAGTCAGGAGGACCTGAGTTCAAATCCGGCCTCAGACCAAATACTTGACACTTATTAGCTGTGTGACCCTGGGCAAGTCACTTAACCTCAATAGCCTAAAAAAAAAAAAAAGAAAGAAAAAAAGAAAAAAATGTCCTCAACTGGTGACATAGTGAGGAAAAGGCATATGAAAGCCTAGTTCCTAGTTTTAGATAAGGCAGAAGGCTCACCTGTCAGAGTTATGGGGAAGTCAGGAGCACAGAGCTAATTTCTGGTGTGGTAGAGCTGGTTGGTAAGGCCATGGCAAAAAGCCTGCAGGAAGCCCAGCATTCTCGTCACATGCCAAAGTTCATTGAGGATAGGGGTTGTTTAACTTTTTTTGTTTATTTCTATATCCCCTTAGCACAATGCCTTGTATACATAAGGGACTTAATAAATGTTTGTTGAATTGAGCCACATTTTAACATAATTAGCTCCCAATACAATTCCAAAGTAATTTTTAGCACATGGCCCAGCACATTCAGTCTAGCCTTCCCAGATAGTATTTCCCATGAAGTAGTGTGACTTGAGCAACTTACATTTTTGAAATTAGAAATTGCTCAGCAGGGCGGAGGGTGGGGTACCCAGACTACAGACACTTTCAACAGAAAATCCATCATGTACAACATCAGTTGTCACCACAGGTGCCCCAGATCCACCCAGTTCTGGGAATGGAAAAGCTGACACAGGCGTCTAAAAGCACTGGTCTGATATCATCAGGACAGGAAATAGGGAAGGCTATAGTTTCTTAATAATCCAAACCTTTTCCAAAACTCTTTTGGGGTCAAATGAGGATTTGGGGGCAAACTTACTATAAGATGAGATAGAAATTCAGCAGATATTTTTCCCCAAAAGGATTTAGAGGATTTTTTTAAAAAGAACCAATTCCATCCCACACAGCATTTGATTTGCTTTTAAGGTCTGCCAAAGGCTACTATAGAATATCTTTCAACAAAGACCATAGTTCAGGTACTCAGACTGAGCCATGTAGACTAGCTAAAGATGTATTTCAGTGAAATGAAGTTAATGAAGCATTTCTAGCTTCACCAAAAATGAAAATGCAAAGACAGATTTGTTTCCCCATGGTCCCCATTAGCAAGGATTTTGTAACATTTTTCCTTTGAAGGCTTTGTTCTAGTGGCCTAGTGCCCCATCATAGTCAGGGTTTAACATCCTGGGCCGGGGGTGGGAGTGGGTGGAATTAAAATGGTCACATTATGAAGACTATCATTTGACTGAGTATCCATTTTCCTAAAGTTTAGGAGGCACATTAAGAGAGGTTGAGAAATCTTAGGAATAAGGGGCCAATTATTTCTTTTCCAATGCTATCACCCTGTCACATTTATGACTTTGCTTAAACATCAATTTTGTCTGTTATTTGTTCAATGAGGTAGCCCTCATTTCTATTGTTAGCTAATCCTGATGAAGTCTTCTTAATGGGAATGGAGAGCAGTCCAGCGTAGAATGTCAGAACTGGAAAGATCCATAGAGACTACTCATTTTATTAATTTAAAAACAATTTGATTGCTGCATTTTGGTTTTGCACCAAAGTAGTTTTCCCTTTAAGGTTCCCTCCACCACAACTTAACATTCTCTAAACACTCTCTTGTAATAACAAAGAAATGAAACATTTAAATTAAACTAACAGAATAGTAGCATCTGATAGTGTATATACCACATTTGGCTTCCATAGTCCCCCATCTCTCTAATGACTTGTCATGATAGAAGTTAATGACATACGTTGCTGGAATGAGTTTTCTGGGGCCAGGATTTAACCCATTATTTTTCCAGTTGAGGTTGCTGGGACTTAGAAAGGTTAAGTGACTTACTCATCAAAAAAAAATGTTGCAAAATTAAGATAGGTTTATCTCAAACTGTACATTCTGAAAATATTATTAGATGGTGCATGTAGCACTTACAAATCTATGAAAAATAGAAACCTTTATTTAAAAAAAAACTCACTTGGCAGAATGGTTTTGTAGCGGTTTTTAGTTCCATGACGTGGAATGTCAATTTCTTTGGGATCCACAAAGTTCATTGGTATTTCCTACAAAGAATAAATTACATCAGATTAGTATAAGACTATATTGGGGGATCTTCATGAGGTCATATCCGTTGGTTGGAATTATCTTTGAATTCTCCCTTTCCCTCTCCTTTCAATGCCCATCACCTACCAAGTCCTGATGGTGTTAGCTCAGCAATATAGAATATATCCAGGATTATAGCATAAGACTTTATCACAGGACACCAAAATTTAAAGCATGCGAAAAATTAACATAAGCCTTCCTTCAGCAGCTAGAAATACTTGGTTACTTACTAGGAACTTAGGTGACAGGAATAATTTATTCAAATAAGAAGCTACAGGTTTCTGGGTATTGTTAATAACACCTACCTATCAGCCAGTATAGTAACTAATTTCCTTTCCTGATTGAATAAATTTGTCTAAGATATTTCTTGTGTTGTTTTCACAAAACAAATGACTAAGTTATTTTAAGAGCACCTTTCAGACCTATGATCTCCCCCGCCCACATTTGCTTGTCCCATTCACCAAATTTTTTTTTCCTTCTTCTTTATCCCCCAAACTACCACTTTAGTACTGACCCTTATCTGCACTGACCTGGACTACTGCAATAATCTCTTAAAAGACCTTCCTATTTCTACTCTCTCCTTTCAAATGCTCCCTCATACTGTAAATAGTGATTATTTCTGTTCTGGCCAGAAACTCTGAGGATCTTTCCTCCCAGAATCATTCCGGGAGTTTTGCAAAGGCAAACTAGATCAATCTTTTTGCCTCAATTCTTGCCTAGCCTTTAATCACTGAATAGATGCTGTCTCAAACAAACTGAGACCTGGGAAAGAGCTTAAAAAGGTCAAGGTCTCTTACTACATCTGGGGCCATCACCAGTCATCTTGACTTATGTCTTACCACTGGACTCATATGATCCTGGAAGAGAGAGTGGGGCTTATGACTGTTCAGGGGCCTGCCTCACTTAAACTCCAACTCACTTGCAAATCAAAACAGCACCTTCCTAATGTCATTTGATCCTTTTTGAGAACAAAGTACTAACAACAATCTCATACTGCTTCCAGACTTATTTTCTCATATATTGATCTGTTTATGTTACTCTGTTTAGAAACAAACAAAAAACTGTAAATCGCTATTTACAGTATGCAGGAGAATTTGAAAGGAGAGAGTAGAATTAGGAAGGCCTTTTAAGGGATTATCACAGTAGTCCAGGTCAGTGCAGATAAGGGTCAATGAGTCTTTATTACCTAGTGAGTTCTTAGTTTGGCATTCAAATGCTTCCATAATCTGATACCATGATACTCTTTTTTTTTTTAAACCTTCTTAATCTTATACTATTTTGTTCGGTGTATGCTACAACTTTCCTTGTGCATACCCTCTACTTTCTCACCTCCATGCCTTTGCTAGTTCTGAAATAACTCATTTATATAGTGCTTTAAATTTTCCTAGGCATTTTCTTTATGGTCGGAGGTGAGTAATACAGGTAGTATCATCCCCAGAAATCTTGGGACATTTTGCTACCTGTCCAGCTAAACTCACCTATCTTCAGACAAGAGACCATACCTTTCTCCCTGTGTGATTTAGCATACTCATCTTTAGAATCATACCTTGGGGCTGAGCTTGATGAGAGAGTGAGCAGGAGCAGACCTACTTCCCTTTCCCCTTTCTACTTTCTTGCTCCAGGAATAAAGCAAATCATTCTCAGCAATACAATGATCCAAGCCATTCTGAAGGGCTTATGATGAAATATGTTATCCCTTTGCAGAGGAAGAACTGGTGGGGTCTGAATACAGATCAAAACATACTTCTTTTACTTTTCTCATTTGTCTTGGGTTTTTATTTTGGTCGATGTTTTCTTCTGCAACACGACTAATATGGAAACACGACTATACATGTATAAACTATATCAAATTGCTTGCCTTCTCAAGGTGGGGTGGGGAGGGAGGGAGAGAATTTGGAATTCAATTTGAAAAACAAATGTTGAAAATTGATTTACACATAATTGTGAAAAAATAAAATACTAAAAAATACTAAAAATACTAAAAAATAAAATACTAAAAAATACTAAAAAAAAAAAAAGGAATAAAGCAAATCATTACTTCCATTGTTTCTAGAGAGGGGAGGAGAGTGTAGGCATTGACTGTCCTATGGCTCCAGACCCCTTCCCTCTGAATCTTTTTACTGCCTTGTATGGTTTCCCCCATTAAAATGTAAACCCCTTGAGGGCAAGACATCTCACATTCCTATTTGTTACCCTAGTACCAGCACAGTATCTGACACATAATACTTAATAAAGTATCTAATAAATGTCTTTTTATTAATTTGTCTCCATTTTATGGATTTTAAAGATCAATCAATCAACAAGCATTTATTAAATTTGCCTGGAACTGTACTAAGCATCAGAGATGCAAAGAAAGGTAAAGCCAATCCCTGCCCTCAAGGAGCTTACATTGCAATGGAGGAGACAACATGTACATGAATAGGTACATTAAGATGTATATATAGAGAAGATGTAAGATCCCCTTAGAAAGAAAGGCAGGGGTCCTTAACCTGTTTATGTCATGAACTGCCTTGTCTGTCTGGTGAAGCCTACGAATCCCTTCTCAGCATAATGTTTTTTTTTAAGTAATTGAAGGAATGCTAAATGTCAGAAGCTAGTGAAAATAAAGAAGCAAATTTCCCCCCATAGCAGATGAGGTGGGAAACACGGAAAGGCCTCTTGCAGAAGGTGGCATTTGAGCTGAGTCTAGAAAGAAGCCAGGAATTCTAAATGGCAGAAGTGAGGAAAGAAGGCATTCCAGGCATGGGAGACTGCCAAGACAAAGGCATGAAGATAGCAGATAGAGTGTCATGAGTAAGGAACACCAAATAGACCCAAATGGCTGTATTCAAGAGTTCTTAGAGAGGTAAATATGCCTAGAAAGGTAGGAAGGGGCAGGCTGTGAAGAGTTTCAATATCAAACAAAGAACATTGTGTTCGAAACTGGAGGGAATAGGAAAGAGGAGGAATCTGAAGCACAAACAGGATAAGTTATGGCCACACAATAAGTAATTGTCATACCTGGAACTCAAATTCAGATTCTTAGACTTTAAAGCCAACGATTTTTCCACTATACCAAGCTGTCTCCATGACCTAACCAGCTATGACCATTGAATTTCTGTTTTTCAGTCATTTCAGTTGTGTCTGACTCTTTATGATCCCATCTGGGGTTTTCTTGACAAGGATACTAGAGTGGTTCGCCATTTTCTTCTCCAGTTCATTTTACAGATGAGGAAACTGAGGCAAACAGGGTGAAGTGACTTACCCAGGGTTACACGACTAGTGTCTGAGACCATATTTGAACCCAGGAAGATGAGTCTTCCTAACCCCAGGCCCAGCACCCTATCTACTAGACCACCTAGCTGCCCCTTGAATTCCTATTCATCCTTTGAAGCCTAATTCAAACACCACTTCCTTCAGGAAGTCTTTCCTGATTACCCCGTTAATAATAATTCTTCCCCCTTATACCATTGTTTTTACCTTTAAAATTTTTGTGGATATCTTTTGTGTTTACGTTACTTTAATTTCCAAATAGAACCATCCTTCCCTAACCATTGAACCATTCCTTGCAACAAAGGATAAAAAAAGAAAGAAAATAAGAAGCATTTCAGCAAAATTAACCAACATATCATCTGAGTCCCAAAGTATAAGTGATATTCCCTACCCATAATTCCTCACCTCTGCAATGAATCTACCAAGCAAACAAGCAACAAGCCTATATTAAACACCTACTATGTTCCACGTATGTTGCTAAGTCCTGGTGATAAAACAACAACAACAAACAAACAAACAAACCCAGTGAAAGGGAAGGGCATTTTTTCCTTCTGTCATTCAGGGCCAACCTTAGTACTTTTCTAATGCCTCATTTAAATAAAACATCTATTATTTAGCTATTTTATAGAGATGAAGTATGATTGAGTGGCAGGAGTATTGGACTTCTCATCATAGCACCAGAGTTTCAATTTATATTTTGCCACTTAGTACCTGTGTGACCTTGGGCAAGTCATTTAATTTCCTTGGTCTCAGTTTCTTCATCTATAAAATGAAAGAATGGGATTACATGGCCTTTGAGGTCCTTTCCAATTCTAGATCAATAATTCTACAACCTCTAATCTTTTTGTAGGTGTTAGATTTCCCTGCTAAGTGTAATTCATGAAGGGTGGAACAAGGTCTTATCTAAACTTTGGATCACCCCCACCTTCTTGGCACAGAATTTTGTACATGTGTTTGTTGAATCGAGTTGAGTTGAATTGACTTGAGATTACAGCTATTCTGGAGATGAAAGTCATTTTTTTTTTAAAAAGAAGGAAAAAAAACACAGACTCTCATTCTTTAGTATGTTAACACCCATCTGGTACATAAACATATCAAGGGCTAGTGGATGGGATAATGTCCAAGAAATACTACTACTAAGTTAACAAGAGAATGTCTCTTTATGAGGTTATTAGATAGGTTAAAGAACATCATTAGAAAGAAGAAATGAGAATCAGTTTTGTTAAATGGTAAGGGGCCAGATTTGATATTTTTCCTGGGTCTCCTACATAAATGCATTCTTGAAAACTATGATATTTTACTAAATGTTTAAATACCTTTATACAATTTATAATCAAATCTAGGAATGGAAGTTCTCTTATAAGGATGGACTCTATTTGCTTTTCGTTAATTATATCCTTATTGTGGCTGCTCAGTTCCTCCTCAACAACTCCTTGGTATATGATAAAAAAAAAACCAAACCAAACAACTTTTATTTCAGGTGTGATTGAGCTGATGTTCTATTAAGAATATCAGAAAAGGACCAACATCTTATACCATATACCAAAATAAAGTCAAAACAGGTACACAATTTAGATATAAAGGCTGATACTATAAGCAAACTGGGAGAGCAAGAAATAGTTTACCTGTCAGATTTATGGATAATGGAAGAATTTATGACCAAACAAGAAATAGAGAACATTATGAAATGCAAAATGGATAATTTTGA